CTTTTTCTCCCCTTTGCAGCAAAAACTGCAATGTGACCTGTGCTTGCAGCCCAATTGCCTTTCTTCCGTTCTTTCTTGAATCCACTGTAATAGGGCTTTTGCTTCCAAAATCCAAAGGCTTTGCTCTTGTCGAGGTGACTGATAACTTTCGTGTTGTGAAAACCAATGATTAATTCTCAGTCTTCATTTTGTTTTGCCACAGTACCTACGTTTTACTCAGCTTCTTCATCTTTCCTCTCACACATTTTGTTTACTTGGCATCTTGGACAGTAGCTACACTCTTTGGGCTTCCATCTCACTTCATTGACTATACATACTTCCTCAGTATCCTTTGCCATTCTCCACAGCTCCCTAGTTTCCAAACATGGGCATTCCCTAAGGTTCAGTCAGTCCTTGGACCTCTACTATTTTCTATTCTTCTCTAGCTCCCTTGATGATCTTATCCGGGCTTTAAACATCATCTATATGCTGGTTTCTCATAAATTTATATTTCTAGCCTGGTTCTTGTTCTTGAACTCCACATTTATATAGCCAGTAGCTACCTGCATAGCTCTGCCTCTGTCTTGCAACCGAACTCCTGGTCATCACCTTCCAACTTGCTCCTCTCATCCTCCTGGAGGTCGCATCCTTTCAGGTACCAAGGTCAAGACCTTCAGATCAACTGTGACTTTCTCCATGATTCACACTCCATGCCCAATTCATCAGCAAATCCTGGTGGCTCTACTCTGCATAGCAGCTACAGTGGCCCTTTCCAAATGCAAGTCAGATTGTGTTACTTCTCTTCTCAAATCCTTTTAATGGATTTCTAAGTGTAAAAAACCAAAATATTTTAAAAATATTCAAGGCTCACCATGGTTTGCACTCACTTCCTATTATGCATCTGACTGAATCTCTCTCTCTCTCTTCTCTTCTCTTCTCTTCTCTTCTCTTCTCTCTCTCTCTCTCTCTCTCTCTCTCTCTCTCTCTCTCTCTCTCTCTCCCTCTCTCTCTTAAAAAACTTTTCTACTTCTTCACTTCTCTCTAGCCCAAACTTGAAAAAACTTGCTTACTTGCCTGGAATGCTTTTCCCTCAGAAATCCACAGGGCTTGCCTCCAAACCCCCTTTTTAGTGAGGACTTCCATTATGGCTCTAGCTATGATTGCTAACTTGCTTTTTTCCTCTATAGAACCTATCATCATTTGATGTTCTATATATTTTGTTCATCTATTTTATTTTCTCTCTTTCCTGCTAGGGTGTACTCCATGAAGGGAGCAATTCTTACAGATTTGTTCCCTGCTGATCTCCAGCACCTACAACAATGCCTGACATACAGTAGTTATTCAAAAATAATTTGTTGAACAAATGAAGAATCTCCAAAATGGAGGTTCTTGAGTTTTTGACTTGCTGTTTAATTCAGCAATATAATGTTACTGTCACATACACTTAATAAATAGTAACCATTATGACTGTTCCTTGTGTATTTGGATATTAATCCCTCACAGATAGATGATTGAGTAGTAATTATTATTAATCTCCATCTTAGATGAATAAATCAACCATAATGGTAATCATGCCCTGTACTCATTATAAGTTTACATTTATGAAGAGTTAGGTTAAAACTTAGTTATGTCATTAGTGCTAAAAATTACATTTGGAAAGGAATTTAGAGGACTTGGAGTTATGAAATGACAAGACCTAAAATATCTATTAAAGCTTAAGAAAACTTTGATGAGAAGTGAAATCAAAATTATTCATGCTTAAATTATAAATACATGACAGAGGTGGCAGGGATTTGAAATAAGATTTGTCAGAAGCCAAGCTGTGTTCCCTAACTTTGCTCTGCTCTCTGTTGGATCATGTTGCTCAACTGCTCCTTACCTCTGCTCAATATGGATAAATGGATTTAAAAGCCAGATAAGGGGAATAGGAAAAGTTATTAGATTTGCTCAAGGAGTTATTTATTTTACAGATTATAACTTGATTTCTGAAACTTTGAAACATAAATATTCATATGGTCTAATATGTTGAAGATGGTAGTGGTAAATGAGGACTAAATGCCTTCTCTTGGGTATTTTAGCTCTAACATGATGGCTGCATCCACATGTATTTGTGAGGACTGATTGATAAGAAAAAATTTAGGCAATCAGCCTATAGATGTGAGCCTGTCAGCGATTTGGGTCAGCGTACACTGTGGTGCATATGGCTAATGCCTGTCTTCATTAGGTTACTACCTGCCATTCATTTCACTGATCATTTATGGAAACTTTGTAAGTCTTCTGAGTTGGCCTTCTGGGTAGAAGGAGAAAGCCGAGGCAAGCCAAGATCTTGATCATACTCCGTGTCTTATGGTGCTATAGCTATCTGGAGACAGCAAAGGGGCTGGGCCAAAGGCGGAGCTTGCTGAGCATCCCCTTCCCCTGGTTATCTGGCAAGACATGGGAGAACTACATATAGCTGCAGCCCTGAAACCTACAGTGGAGGTAGTGCAGGGTAACTAACTTGGGTACCTTAGAGGTGTGGTGTGTAGAAAATGATCAAATGCAACCCAGATCAAGAGCTAATGCCAGCTTCCCGGCAAGCAGTCAAAATTTTCATTCGAGGACATATTCATGCTGATTCTCATTTGAATTCCAAAAACGACCAGGGAAAGCCGTGTCCTAATATTGCTTGTGTTGTCCCTTGACAGTTTTGAGGCCAGGAGCCATAAATTACTCATCTAGCAGGATGCCCAGAATGCAGTGGATTCTTAAGAAACTTGCAAAAAGTGAATAAATTATTCAGAACTGTGTCATGAGGGAGCTAAAAAAGTGGGTGCTTCTGGTGCTCATTTAAAAGGTATTGTTGGGATGCAGAGGTAGCATCTCTATGAAGTGGGTTTTGGGGAAGGGTAGTTAAAGACCTGAAGGTATTTTTAAAAGCCCCGTTAGCCAGAGCCTGTTTGTGTGCTGGGGTGTGAAACTCTATGAATGTATTATCAGCAGGGCCTTAGAGGGGTTTGTGTGATTTGCTTTGGGCAGAAACAGGCTCCTTCTTTACAGATTCCCTGGGGATAGAGAGACCAAAAGAACCACCTGCTACTCTAATGGTTCACCCACCCCACAATTAATGAGGGAGATGTTTTTGGTCTTTAAAGGAACAGTGTCAGTGAAATGTCTAAAACAGTAGCCGCATGTGGCTCTTGGCACTGAAAATGTAGCTCGTTCAAATTCAGATGTGCTTTGAGTATAAAATAACCACCAGACATTGAACTCTTGGTACAACAGAACATATTATATACCTAATTATTAATTTTATGTTAGTTACATGTTAAAATGATAATGCTTTTGGACATATTGGACAAAATAAAAACATTTCAAAAAATAATATAATTACCATTCTTGTCTCTGTAAGTGGCTACCATGAAATTTAAAATGCCATTTGTGGCTCACATTGTATTTCTACTGGACAGTGCTCTCTAAAAGATACCTTGTTTTGGGATCCATTCCTAGAAAGCTTGTATTTCATTTAGATCTGGAAGCAGTTGTAATCTCTGAACAGACAAAGAAAAGAATTGGATCTGGCATGGAAAAAATGCAAGTACCTTTTTTTAGCAAAAAAAAAAAAAAAAAAATGCTGACCAGTTGGCCATAAATCCACCTCTAGCCTTCTCTGTATTTGATCTTATTCTTTGAGGGCTCAGGTGTCAGTTCCACACTGTTATTTCAATGTGCTGAAAACAAAAAAATGCCATAAAGATAATGAACATCTATGGAGAACTTGCCATGTGGGTTTTGTTAATTGCTTTATATAAATTATTGCATTAATGAAGTAGGCATCTGACTCTCCTCACTTTACAAATAAGCAGAATAGACAGATGGCATGCAAAAGGATAACTCAGGAAGAAGTCACTGCAGATGGGGGGTGAGGGACAAGAAACAGACACAGGTGTTACTCCAGGTCCAACTTGGCAAGTAGGTGAACACTCAGCCCGCGCCCTGGTTGGGGGTGCAGGAGGGACGATTGTATCCTCTGAAGAGATGCCTGGCAGAGTGCCTCTGGGTAGCTTGTGCTCATTAAACATTGCTGATTCCCCACATGGCCTCCTCCCTCCCTTCTTGCTTTAATCCTGCCCACTTCCTGGTTTCCATCTCCTCTTCCCAGGATGACTTCTCCATTTATGTAATGGACAAAGAGGAGTCATAAGTGCCAAATGGACTTGGGTATACCATGGGAAGAACTAAGGACCGCCTCACAGGGTTGCATTGGGGTTTAATGTTGGTGCAATGAATCTTTAGACCAAGAGAAGGTAAATATAGTAATTGCTAGTGTTTACTTTTTCCATGTAGCTCACGTCTGTGGCTGTTTTCTAGATCTCAGTCACAGGAGATTGATACCAAGGGAGCTAGGAATAAAAAGGGAGCCATTTACATGTTGGGGTTCATGCTGACCTACCCCAGGTCAATTCCTTATTGTGTCTGTACGCACCTTGGGATCTGAAAAGAGATAGTCTCCTTTGGTCTATAAAAAAAGATTTCCCTGAAGTCATCTCTAAAAACATCTGGAGGACTTATTTGCCTTTGAAATCTGTGTGTAATTAACAAGCTTGCCCTCTGGAAGCTGGTGATCTACTTTTCGTGCGCTTGCAGCAAGCAAAAAAGCAAAAGTCACCTCACCAGCATAGATTTCCAATCTGACCTCCCTCCATTCTCTATTGTTAGGATCCTGTGACCAGCATGTTCCACGGGGAAGCTGACTGAGGACATTTTCTTCCATTAGACCTGGAAGGGAACATGCTGGGGCAGACCCAGCCCAGAGCTGGCAGAACTCAGGTTTCGGTTCCAGCTCAGGCACTCAGGGTGAGGTGGCTTTGGGAAGTCTTATTTTCYCCCTGGATCTCAGTATCCCCATCTAACTAGAGAGCTGAGTCAAGGGTCTCAGCTCTGGAGACCTCAATGGGGAACTCTGGAAGGCAAGGACTGTACCATCTTGTTTATAACTGGGTCCCCAGTGTCTTGTACAATATCTGGCATAGAGTACGTACTTGCTAAATCCTTGTTGAATAATGATTTATCCACAGCTGTTTCAGCTGTGACCATCTGCATGACAGAGGCTGCTGATCCTAAACCATCTCTTGGGAGAGATGAGTGATGAAGGGACCAATAGACATATAGAGTTTCACTAGGAAAGCTGATGTTCTTGAAGGTTAGACATTTTTCCATCTTTCTCCTTCCTGTGCCACGTAGAGACTTGGCCTGACCCCACACCTGGGGTAAAACAAGAAAGAGAGGGATCCTAGTAAAACTGCTTAATTCAGGCCAAAACCTGGGAGTATATTGAAAAAAAAAAAAAACACCGAATAGAACATATGTATATAGCAGCTTGTTTGTTTCATAAAAAATTATCTTATTTGGATTCAAGAGACGGATCCCAGTCAATGCTTAGCTAATTGCTTTGGTTTGTACATATGGAACATTCTATTTAAATGGTTGACATGGGCAGAGATTGTTTGCTTGGTAGACCTGACAGAGAGATTTCTTTCCCAGAAGCTCCAAGACCCCTCTCATGTGTGTGTCTCACCAGGTGGGCAAGAGCAGCTGAGGGGACCTTGCAGACTTCATTTGTGAAGTCACTGACTCTAACCCTTTCATCAAGCCAATGTCTGCAAACCATTTCCATGGCCATGGGTAGGTGGTGAACCCATGGAATCTCCTGCTTTAAGAGGAATTGTCTCCACAGGAGCATTTGGTCCAGGGAGCTGCTCAGCACTTGAAAAGCAATAAATAGTAACCAATAACCAAGCATTGAAGACATATTATATCCTGAGTGAAAGAAAGAAGATGTTGTACTTGGAATTGTGATCTCTCTGTCTTGTACTTTTTTTTTTTTTTTTTTTTTTGGTACTGGGGATTGAACCCAGGGGGTGCTTAACCACTGAGCCATATCCACTACCCTTTTTATTTTGCGACAGGGTCTCATTGAGTTGCCTATGGCTTCACTAATTTGCTGAGGCTGATTTCAAACTTACGATCCTCCTGCCTCAGCCTCCCCAGCTGCTGGGAGGCATGCACCAGGGCATCTGGCTTCTTGTACATTTGGGATAAAAAATGGATAGCAGGTAGGGTGCTGCTATCAGAAGCTTTGAAGAGACAGGTGTAACTGGACCACTGGGAGCTATGAGATGATGCCTTGGCCTGAGAAAGAGCCACAGGCTGGGGCCTGAAGCTTAGAGGTTTCAGTCCACCTGTCCCTTGAGGGCTCCTTCCTGCTCCCTCACTCTTACTTCTTCCTTTTTGCACATGTGCACATGCACATACACACACACACACACACACACACACACACACTTGCATGCACATACACATTCTTATTGCACAAACCAGAATTGTAGATGCACAGAGCATCACAGAGAAATCACACAAATTGGAGAAACATCATTGTATTAGGATGATTTTCATCCTAACCCTTGTCTGATTTTACCTTCAATTTACTGTTCTTGTCACATTTAATCCTTTCTATTTTCTGTACCGCTTCACTCCAAGAGCCCAAGAGGGATTGCTTTTCTCTTTCCTCATCTCCCCAACTCCTAGGATGAGCTCTGGTTGGTGCAAGGACAGAGGTGACTGCCCTAGCTGCTGGGATGCCAGCTGCTGCTGGCTGCAAGTGCCCAGCATGCTGGTGGACAGTGTCATTTTGCCTAAGGCAGCTGGAAGGGCTGACAGAGGGAACACCTCAGGGGAGGCTGTGGCCTCTGCAGAGGTCTTCTTTACAGGTCTCTTGTTCTGGTTAAAACTAAGTCCCTGCATGGAGCATTGGCTCTTAAAGGGGGAAAAAGCTAGAGCTGTGTGATTTTCCATTTAGTTATAATTCTGTAACTAGATTTGCAGAAATGACTAAATCGGCTAGAGGGAGGCAGGTGGGTTTGTGGGGCTGACACGGGCTGGGCATCTGGGGACTGCACTGCTAGCTGGGCAGGCTTTCACACTAGCAGCCTGGGTGGCACTGAGCCAGACCTGTCGCCTCTCTGTCCTCATTATTAAGTGAGAAGGATGGTCCAGATCATGCCACACCCCCCTGAGAGAAGGACTGTGAACACAGGGCTCCAGGATCAATCTAGTTGGCAGCACTGCCCTCTCTAGCAACAGTCAGCACTTAAAGAGCACTTGGTTTTGATCTCATAACATGTTAGCTTATTTAAGCCTTGCAGTCTTAGGAAGCACATACTATTGTTTTTCTTGTTTAATAGATGAGAAACGGAGAGATGAAGTGAGGTGCCCAGTGTCACTCAGCAAAGCTAGAATTCAAGGCCAGGCAATGCTGCTCAGAGTCTGAAYTTGCTCACTGTCCCACTCTGTGTACATGGTGCTAATGAGGCAGGGCTCTGAGATTTTTGCAGCCAACAAACCAGTCTAATTTTGTTTGACCCAGCAATTCCCAAGCTGCGATGACCCAGGAACCCTCAGAAAGCAGCAGAGTGTGATGACTCAAAACACAGAGTCTCCGCAGACATGGCTAGGCTTATTCTCTTCCCTCCACTTAGAATCACTCTGATCTTGGGCAGGAGCTCAACCTCTTTAAACACCAGTTTTCTCAGCTACAAAATGGGGGTGATGATAGTAGGGTTGCTAGGAGAATTTTAAAAAATACAACGCTTGAAAAACTCTTTGTAGTGCTTGGCATTTTGTATGCATGACAGCTTTTGCTACATATAGTAAATAAGGGATGACATCCATACATAATGCCATGATACAGATGTCAGCTTTTAAATATGCACACGGAGAGAAAGAGATAATATCATTATATGAAATATAAAAATAAGAAATGTCTTTATCTTATGTATTAAAAAGAGATACTACCTTTAAATTACATAAAGATACAAAGTTATATAAAACATGCATATATATAATATACACACACACACACACACACACACACACAACCTATTATGAGTCTATAGAGCGAATATTCCTGAAACACACAGTGGGAAGTATCAGTCTAACAATGTTTAAGGCCCTTTTCTTTTCCTCTGCCCCTAGTTTGATTCCTATTCTTGAACTCTAAAATTGCTAGGCTCTTATGAAGGCCTATGTGGGCTTTCTGTGTAGAGAGCTCACCCTCACGGGATGTGATAGCAGGGAAGGGCCTCAGAGATCATGGTGTCAAACTCACTTGCTTTATAGAAAGCTGAGGCCTGAGGATCTCCAAGTAGGAGAAAGTCAAGGTGAGACCCTTCACACATGGCAGGACATAAGGCTGCAGAGAGAAACTCATTGTTATGGTTCAGAGAGGGGGTAGCCCCAAAAGCTCATATGTAGAAAGTTTAAAGATGAAATAATTAGGTTGAAGTACTTTAATGAGTGCATTAAAGCACAGATATAGATTAACTGAGCAATAATTGTAGGCAGGTGGGGAGTGCCTGGAGGAGGTGTCACTGGGGGTGTGCCTTTGGGGTTTAGATTTTTGGCCCTGGTGAGCAGCTTGCTCTCTTTCTCTCTCTCTCTCTCTCTCTCTCTCTCTCTCTCTCTCTCTCTCTCTCTCTCTCTCTCTCTCTCTCTCTCTCTCTCTCTGATTCCTGCTTGCCATAACCTGAGTTGCTTTCCTACTCAACGATTTTCTGCCTTAAAGTTTTGTCTCACCTTGGGCCCAGAGCTATGGAGTTGACCATCTATGGACTGAGACTTCTGAAACTATGGCCCCCAATTAACTTTTTATCCTTTATGTTTTCCTTCTCAGGCATTTTGGTCACAGTGATTAAAAAAAAAAAAAAAGCTGGCTAAAACACTTACACTTTTCTGAATTATAAACCTGGGAAACTCAATCCAGGCAGAGGCCTGCCCTGGGGAGGGCCAACAACATGTCTCGAGCCACTGTCCATTCATCATTGAAAAACAACACGAACTCATGAATTCATAGAGTTACAGGATTCATAGAGTTATAGGATAGCACCTCGTCACTGCTCTTGCCTTGGGGTACAGGAGGATGAGTCTGCAGAGGTACTATCCACAGGCAGCTCCCACAGCCTCAGGGAGGGAGCTCTGGGCTTTCCTGAAAACCTGCTCAGCCAGTTCCCACAKGGTAGTTAAGGATGCTCTAGGAGCCTTTGTTCCAACTGGGCTCCTCTTARTGTCTTGGGTTTGCAGGGACAGTGGGAAGATGCTCCAAGATGCTCTATGTTGAAAGAAGGGGTTGCAAATTCCTTGACCACTGTGACCAAGCTTGGAACCGGGAGGGGTTGGGACCTGTTGGAGGCATGTGATGGTTGTCCTTGTGGTAGTGGGGGAATCCCTGGTCCTCACTGAAGTCACTCAAGTCCCCAAACCCAGTAGTGCTGATTASTTAAAGCAGGCCTCTGCCTGGATTTAGCTTCCCAGGCTTACAACTCCAGTCATGCACTCTTAGACTTGCTGTTGGAGATCCAGCCCCCAGCCCCCAGCCCCACTGCCATATGAACTAGAAATAAGCCTACCATGTTAAGGCCCTGACATTTGAGTGCTTTATTTTCAGAGTTAGCATTCCTCTTATACACATTCATATTTCCTCAACCAGAGTTATAGGATAGCACCTCTCTGTCCCTGATTCCGGCTCACGTCTTCCTGTCTGAAGTCTTCCTGCCCTCACTGACCTCAGGGTCCCCCTTTGTCTGCATTTCTGTAGCTCGTATTGTCATACTCAGGCAGCTCCCACTTGGATACGTAAGGGCTTGCAGTGCTAATTGAAGAGGACGGAGACCCAGTTCCACACTCATTCTGCATCTCCCAAAATGCCTAGCGTCAAGCCCAGCAAACAGTAGGCACTCAATCAATACTTGTTGATCGATTTGAGAGAGGCTGGAATGATCCATATCAAACTCCAGGCATCATCCGGGAGCTCACTGATTAAGCGGGTGAATCTTGCAACCTTTCTCTAAGGCCACCACTCAGCCTGTGCTGGGGGGAGCCCCCCGAGCCCAGAGCCTCTAGGCTCAGGAGCCCCTCAGCTGGCCAGTTCCCTGCTGGCTTCCCAGGATCTCAGGCACTCCAGGCCACTCTCAAATGGCCAGGGCATCCATCAAGTGACTTGCCGACTGAARGTTCTTCTTTGTTCTCTCTGCACTTCCTGCTTAAAAAAAAAAAAAAAAGCAAACAAACAAAACCCAAGAATATCCTCAAAATGAAAAGCCAAAAAGCCAAAATCAATTAGAGACCCTTCTGTCTAGGGCTCTGATTATGTYCTCAGTCTATCTAGGGAAGAGTGGAATAGTATTATCTTTCAATTACTAGTCCAGTGTTAAAAAAAATATATTTATGTTGTAAACTTTTCTAGAAATGTCATGACAAGGGCCTTGGAAGTCCAGTCCCGGGCCTAAGGGTCTGGAATGTCGGTATCAGTACACTTGAATTTGGTATTCCGATTCCAGCAACTCTTTCCCTAACATGTTGGTGAATAATTTAGCTACAGCATTATAGTGATCAAAAATATCTTAGGGATGTGGCATTTAGTTTTTATTAATTTATTTTAATTTTTCATTAATCTTTCTACTATGATAATGTTTGTTCAATAAAACAATTAAAGAATATGGATCAGCAAATCAGAAAATAATATCATTTGAATTTCCATGGATCAAATATAATTCAGTGTGCATATTTTCATGTATATCTTGCCAAATTTTTCCAGTGTCAACATATGCATGTACATATACACTCTACATATGCTATTTGTCAGTTGGTTTGCTTAATATTTTTCTATGTTAAAATATAAACAGAGTCATTTTCAATAACTTTATATTATTCCATTTTTATAGAAATGTGCCATTGTTCAGAAAACTATTGTTATCTAGTGTTGGATATTTAAGGATTTTTGTTTGTTTTATTTTTCTGTTATAAATTCTCCAGTGGAGTATATAACCTTTGCATGCACACATGATTATTTCTTAAAGATAGAGTCATAGACGAATGAGATGTATTACTCCATTTATGTATGATGTGCCAAAATGCATTATACTGTCGTGTATAACTAATTAGAACAAATAAAAAAGATATTAAAAGAAAAAAAGAAAAAGAGTCATAGACGTGTAATTACTAGACCAAAGGGAACATAGATTTTAAAGTTCTATGACACCCATGGCTGGAAATGCATTTACTGTCCCACTAGCATTCAGATAGTTTTAACTTTACTCAATCAAATTGGCTTATATGTGTGGATACAAACATCCACAGCTGGAATGAGATGGGGAGAAAGAATTTAGATAGTTAATGAATTTCTAAAGCTGTTTGTCTTAATCCAATCTGTTCCCATTGAAATTCTGCTGCTCTTAAAACAGACTTGTGGGTTTAGATCTGGTTTTTAAGGCTGTCAAACATCTTAATTTGTACACTTACATGATTATAAAGAAGATGGGTTTGTTTTCAGCATAATCCAAGTGGGCAAAAGCAGAGTGTTCTGGAGAGGTGTGTGTGTGTGCACATACATTGATCCTGTAGTTTGTAGCCCCCTGAGCCACAGCCTGGTGGTTTCAACAAGAAAAAGAAGAAATCTGCTTTTGAGATGCTCAGGGGAAAGAAAGGCAAGGTAAAGCGTGGGCCATTTATCTTGCCAGGAAGAGTGTTAGAGCAGGGAAGAGTTGCCTTAGGAAAACTGGCTTTCAGTGTGTGCAGATGTATTAAAATTCTTTTACTTAATATGTCAAAAAAATCTCTTTTCATAGTAAAAAATA